AGACCACTGCATCCAGCTGACACCTCGTAGCAGGTGCAAATAAGCTGTATTAGGCCAAAATAGTCAGTTTTCTACCGTTTGCAAAAAAATTTCATGGCAGTTGCCAAAGTTACGAGTGGTCATTATCTCACTTAAATGTTTTGTCCAGAATGGGGTGGGTCTAGGAACTCAGTGACCTGAAAAATTGCCTTCTATGACACTTCTCTAATAATTAACATAGGTGCACTTGGGAAAAAATCTCTGAAAAATAATAGCCTTTTAAAGTAATTCTTGTTTGTGCATCAGGACAGAGGTTTAGGTTTGGCCTCTAGCTGTCGTTTATGGTATGTCTGTTTCTCTGTGTATACAGTTAAAAACACACATGCATATACATGCCTACACACATGCATGCACACATTTTTGCAGACTCGTATGTGAATGGCTGCAGTCTAAGGTCGCCTATCTGTAAACTACATTGGAACTATTAGCAAACCATTATGTGTTTCATTGATTCACCAGCATTCATGATGCATCTCAAATGTCTGATACTGGACTGATCAGCAGAAATACCAGTAAGATTAGTAAAACACAGGTTCTCAGGTAGACCAGGGTGTTGTTTGGAGATAGACATGTTAATAGAGTAAACTCAATGTAAGTTATATAACAATTTGAATTGGGTATATGTAAAAAAATATATATATATATCAAATAACAATGGCTTAGACACATAAAGGATTTATTCTCTCACAAAAAAAGATGTAATCAGTCCAAGTATGGTTCAGAAACCAGGATCTTTCTCTCTTTCTGCTCTGCCGTTCTGAGTGCAAGGCTTCCATTCTCAAGATTGGCTCATTTCCAAGATGGCTACTGGAGCCGGTAGGAAGGTAGGAAAGCAGAGAGCAGAAGAAGCATTCTCCAGCTAAGTCAACTTCTTTTAGGTAGCCTTCCCGGAAGCCTCACACAACACTTCCACTTTTATTTCACTAATTATGATTTGGTCTCATGACCAATGAGAAATGCATTCTTTTAACTACGTGTAATGCTAACCCAGATAAAATTGGGGTCCAGTACAAGAAAAGTAAGAGAAGATGGATATTGGATGACAACCAGCAATCTCTGCCACATAGAGGTATGAACAAAAGGCTATAGAAACATACAGCAATAAGGGAGTTACCTCTGGAATCTGGACAGTCTTTCTTGAGGAGGCACTTAATTTGGGCTTTGAAGGATAAATAGGAGTCTGCCAAATAAAGAATAGGCAAAGAGCATTCCAGGCAAAAAATAATAGCATGTGTACAGAGGGCCAATTAAGCCTATTTTTGTATTTCTATTTATTTTTATCTCTGCTATTAATAGTAGGTCTTAACAATTAAGTTTTTTGTTGTTTTGTTTTGTTTTGTTTTGAGACAGTCTTGCTCTCTTGCCAGACTGGAGTGCAGTGGCACAATCTTGGCTCACTGCAACCTCCACCTTCTGGGTTCAAGAGATTCTCCTGCCTCAGGCTCCAAAGTAGCTCGGACTACAGGCATGTGCCACCATGCCCAGCTAATTTTTGTATTTTTAGTAGAGACAGGGTTTTACCATGTTGGCCAGCATGGTCTCCATCTCTTGACCTCGTGATCTGCCCACCTCAGCCTCCCAAAGTGCTGAGATTACAGGCGTGAGCCACTGCATCTGGCCTAATTTTTAATTAATCTAACAGTTACTCAAGATCAACAGATTAAGATATGTCAAGTATGATTAACCTGATATCCCTGCAAATGATTTCCACTTGGACCAAAATAAGAACATTTTATCTGATATAAAGTATTCCACATTCTAAAAATAATTGAGTTAGAAGATTTTGGCATCTTGAAAAGGAATCGATATAGAGAAAAGGAAGAAAAAAAACAATTTTTTTTCATTTCATTTTTCAGGGAGATGTTTGTCTTTTAAATTTTTCATTTGCAGGGAGATGTTTGTCTTTTAAATCCTGAAGCTAAACAAAGCCCATTTAGAACTGATTTGGTTCATATCCCGGGGTCCATGAACCCACACTGAGAGCGCTAAGTCAGGCATCTAGCCAAGTTAGTCTTAAAGTATGTCACCTCCTATTTAGCTATTCCTAATATATCTGTTACTTTGGATCTGTGAAGCTGAATTGTTCTTTTCTTAAATGGTTTTGGAACCATAAGAAATCTTTAGGATTAGAGAGAGATTTTCATGATTATCTCCTTTGGCTTCATTAGAGGCATCAGAGTCCATTAAAAATTTTCCGGAGAAACTTAAATCCTTTGAGAAACCTGAAATTCTTGTAGTTTAAGGAGTAAATCCAGTTAGATCTGGGATGCCTGAGAGTGGAAATTCCTGTGCCCACTGTCCGTGCTGTCCTTCTACGTCGCCAAGGATCTTGTCAGATTAAATCCTCTTCAATCCCAACAACCCCAACCACAGTAGAGTTCTGACAATGCTTTGAATGCTACCTCAGTTAAAACTGCCATGCTTTCTCAAAGGATTCAGTCCCTCAAGGGCAAGTAGATTATCCATTTTCTGATTTTTTTTTTTTTTGGCCAACTTTGATTTTTGCTTCCTCTCCCATTAGTTGGTATCCAGACATTCCTAAAGGATGTGGTGAGCCTTATGCAACACCTCCCTTCCATTGTTCATTCTGACTCTTCATTCACATCTCAGCTCTAAAAAGTCTCTTCCTCAGGAAAATCTTCTCTTGCCTCCCTAACCAAATTAAATTCTCCATATATTATGCTCTCAGGGTGCCATGTATCTGTGTTTTATAGCTTTTATCATAATTATCATTTTACATTTATTGCATGAGATGATTTGAGCACTATCTCCCTCTGCCAGTAGACTGGAAAGTCTCTTGAGAGTGGACCCATAGATGCTGAAATTCGCTATTGAATTTTACTCCTAGCACAGTGCCTGGCCCGTAGCAAGTTCTCAATAAATGTTGCTTAAACAATTAAATGAATTCTTTTATAAAGTACTTCTGTAATCCCATTTCACACAGTGTTCAGAATATGGGTGAATACAGAATTGATCAGCTCATGGGCGGGCCCATCTACAGATATGAATGTTGAAAATAATTTTACCGCAGTTACTTAGAAGTACCAAAGTCCTAGCCAGCACATGCTTGATACCGCAGGGATGAAACTTGGTTGCATCCTGCAGTGGCCTCACGGCAGCCTCTGAATAGATTGAGATCAGCTGCTCCTCGGCTACAGTGAACATTAGGGATAGAGCCCATCTGCCTTTGCCCCTCACTTTAGAACTCAGCACCATGTTTTGCTGACATCTTTGCACATTAAAAAAAAAAAAGAACAGTTATTGAAGGAGTTGTTGCTTTTCATCTGTTTTTAAAAGATGTTCATTTGTTGTTAATGAAAAAATACACATTACCACATTTTAAAAATAGAGTGCATATCTAACACAATGTTAAATAATTATATTTTTGAACCTTTGCCTAAGCATGTGTTTGCAATTATTAATAAAAGGAATAAAAAAGAAAAGCAAGCTTCAAGCCTCTGTTCATATTAACAACCAGATTTTTGAAAGGCAGGACGAACTGTGGGGACTTTGTGAAGAGAAGACCTAAGTCACTTCAGTTGTCACTACCATTCTCATTTTATTTTGTCAGAGACAGTAATCGAAAGAGTTTGGGAGTGGAATAAATCTTTCCGTATTTGATCTAACTAGAACTATAAGCCATACAACCAGGCATAGTTTGGATTTGAATTTCTAAAACTAAGATATTGGAAAACAAAGAGTAAAGACACAAATGGCATTGCCCACATGCTCTATAAAAGCCTGTGATGTTGTTAAGCCTGATTTGGACTTGGCGTAAAGATTTTACTAGAAGTCTTTAGCATTTGGCTGCTTATTAGCTAAGTGACCTTGGGTAAGATTCATGGCCTCAACTATAAAACGGGGATATCTTTCTTGCATGGCTGTTTTGAGAATGAATGAGATATTTGTACTGTGCCTGGTACAGGACAGGATAAGGCAAATGACAGGGTCTTAGTAGTGTGTATCTCTGCTGCCCTTCACGCAACCCTCCTCTTCCTCACTAAGATACATACACTAAATTTGTATCTGTTTGCTGACTCTCTTCTCCTTTTTAAGCTGGAGTGCTAGCTAGAAAAGGAAGAATTTTTTTTTTTTTTTTAAAGACAGACTCTTGATCTGTTGCCAGGAGCCAGCTGGAGTGCAGTGGCACAATCTTGGCTCACTGCAACCTCTGCCTCCCGTGTTACAAGCAATTCTCCTGCCTCAGCCTCCCGAGTAGCTGGGACCACAGGTGCACACCACCACGCCCAGATAATTTTTGTATTTTTTAGTAGAGATAGGGTTTCCACCATGGTCTCGATCTCTTGACCTCGTGATCCACCTGCCTTGGCCTCCCAAAGTGCTGAGATTACAGGGGTGAGCCACCGTGCCCAGCCTAAGGAAGTATTTTTATTATCACTCAGCAAATATTTTTTGAGGGCCTCCGATTGACCAAGCACTGTTATCATTGTTTGGAATACATTAATTACCTCAACATGCAAATCACCCACCCTTATGCAGCTTATATTCTAAGGAATCATGTGGAACATGGAGATTATTTATAAAATGTTTCTTGCTACTGTTACCTCTTGGTTGTAGTTTTTGTCATTTGGGTGAATCATAATTACCAACACAGGAGTTACTCTTGAATTAAGGCCCTAAAACATCCAGTAATTCAGGATCTTCTCGTCTCTCTTACTTTCTCCCATCATTCCGTACCCTGCTCCCTATTCTCTCTCATTCTCTTTCTTTTACCCTTCTTTCTGTTTGTGTATCCAAACTTTAAAAACATCTTCACCCATGCTAACTTTTTTTCTTTCTTAGCTTGATTCAAATTCCAGTTGAATTCAGTCCCCTCCATAGGAAGTATGTTTTAGGCCCCTCAGGGATGAAGGGAGGGTAATTTCGTGGTGATTGGCCTCATAATGGATTCTGCCATTGGTAGGTGCTTGGCTGAATTACACGTCTCTCTTTCTTGTTAGATTGTTGGCTGTGATCACCAGCTGGGGAGCACCATCAAGGAAGATAACTGTGGGGTCTGCAACGGAGATGGGTCCACCTGCCGGCTGGTCCGAGGGCAGTATAAATCCCAGCTCTCCGCAACCAAATGTAAGATACACAGAGATGGAGTGACCTTTGGAGTTGTTGACTTCTTGACTTGTTATCCTCCCCTGGTTTACGTCTGGCCCCACTAAACAGCCAGGGAACAACACCTCCACCAAAATGATGAGGAACCTGGAAATGTAGAAGGCGTTCATGCTCTGGCATGTGAAATAGCTTAGGTGGGACAAGTCAGGTCACCAGGGGCAGTCCCAAATGGAATACCTATCCTTCTGAGGCACATCAGGAGTGAACCAAACTTGGGGCTACAGGTATTCTCTGTGCAAACATGAGCCTTTCTGTCCAACATGAGGACAGACTGTATCCCAGCTCCTGCATGATGTATAGTGTGTTATTCCTGGTGGAAGATAGCAGGGAGAGTAGGAAGATCAGCACAAATTTACTCCTGTCACTGTGAAATCACATGGTCTTCATTTACAAAGTGGCCTTTGGTCAGTGCTAAAACAACTTCTTTCAGAATTAATATAGGACAGTGATTACATGAAGTCTTGGTTTTTTGGTTTTTGGGTTTTGGGTTTTTTTTGAGTCTCATGCCCTCCCCAAGACTGGAGTGCAGTGGCGTGATCTCAGCTGACTACAACCTCCACCTCCACCTCCCAGGTTCAAGCGATTTTTCTGCCTTAACCTTGCAAGTAGCTGGGATCACGGCGCATGCCACCACGCCCAGCTAATTTTTGTATTTTTGGTAGAGCCAGGGTTTCATTGTGGCCAGGCTGGTCTTGAACTCCTGACCTCAAGCAATCCACCTGCATCGGCCTCCCAAAGTGCTGGTATTACAGGTATGAGCTACTGTGCTGAGCCTATGTGAAGTTTTTTATTGACCTTTGTGTCCTGATATCTTAATACTAGAAAAAAAAAAGTGTGATAATTATACATGTACTTGCTGAGAACTTCACACAATCATCTCATGTAATTGTTATGACAACCTCATGAGCAAAGTACTGTTAATTCCTATATTATGGATGAGATAACTGAAGCTTAGCCAGATTATGGGATTTGTACAGAGTCACACAGTTGTAACAAAGCCAAGGTTTGAGCTCAGAGTCTGGTTCCAGAGCCTAAGCACTTACTTGTTCCTTTGGACTGGTCACAGCCCTGCTGATAGTCTCCATGGTGGCACATCTGCAAGGCAAATAGATGGATCAAGGGAAGGTGCCTCAGATGTCTACTCAGTCAGATCCTGAGAGGATAGGTTGTACAAGTCCTCATAGTCCCTAAGCCAGCAATGGAGTCATTAATGTAAGGCATTTTATGATACACAGTCCTCTGTGACAATCACTGTCCTGGGCACTGCAGCAGATACAGATAGAAATTAGACAGCCCTTATATTAAAGGACATGCATTTTTAGAATCATTTGGAACTTGCATGGCATATTGTCTCCAGATTTTGCTACTATGCAGAATCCTTCAATAGATCCCAGATTGAGTATTTCTTTCCACCTGTTTCTCTGGCTTGGGAAATGAGAATTAATATCTTTACTGAGTGTGTTTTGTTATCTTTACTTGTTGACTAGCTGGAGGAAAACAATTGACGTATGGGGAGTTTGGGGCTTTAAATGGACTTACAGGTCAAGAAGAAAGGCAGCTGCAGTTGTTGTGGTATACAGTAGAGAAATATTCTCAGAAATCCTCAAAATCAGCTTGCCAAAGGATTAGGCTTGAGGTAAAAAGAGGGAGTAGAAAGAAAGAGTGGGGACTTCTAAACACATGAAAAATTGGAGATACCAGTTTAGGGAACTCTCCACATTCTAGCTCCCTTGGAAGCAATGAAAAATGTAATTCTGCAATAAATAAATAAATAAATAAATAAGAAAATTTAAAATATTCTGGCAGATAGAATGAAGAATGAGGTAACTTAGACATTGATATAAACCATTCAGGCGAACATTTTTTTTTGGTCTTGTATGTGGGTAGCTTCTTCTATAAGTGAAAAATTTCTAAAGTTAGAAGATGGAAACCAGAAATGGATAGAGTCATAGTTCTCTTATAAATTATGGTTGGATATTAGAAAAGAGTTACATTTAGAAGATCATTCTTAAGAAATCTTCAAGGAATGCTAGAAGAGTTAAAATCTCTCTATTTCTGTTATGTAACTGAATCAGTGTCATTATCTAGGAATCTAGGAATTACTGTTAGATACGAAAGAGAATGTCATGCATGCGTGCAGCAATGGCTGTATAGTGTTCTGGGAGCATGTTTTTAATGGTAAAGATCCTTTTTTATTCTCATGCCTATACCTTCCTGTTGTCAGAGAGGAGCTAGACTACCCTGCTCAGATAAACGTTCCCCTTACCCTACTGTTACGGAGGGATGGGTGACCACTGGGGCCTGAATCACAAAACAAAGATGGAGAAGCTCCAAAGGAACAAACTGAAGCTAATTGAGAGCCCTGTGTCATCTCCAGGTCTGCAAATAAGTACCACAATGAAAAGTGCCCTGTTCAAGACCGCCAGTGGGTAAATTATATCATACACAACCTGATGATGATACATAATGACAAAATGTAATTGATTCATTTACCTTAGCACTGATGATGCCTCATGACAGAATGATTGATATCAATAAAGCCCAGCGTATGCATGCAACTCACCACAATCTATAGCAGATGCGGAGCAAACTGCCTCGCTTATGTTTTCTCCACCCTAGAAGAATCATTCATCCTGTGCTTACAGACTGTGAGGTGACCCACTGGCAGGGAAGATTAGGCTGCTCTGCAGGGCCCAGCAGAGTGGCCAGGTGAGCAGTTCTCCACCCTGGAGGAGTCCTGCCAGATCTCTCCCCTGTCTTCTGCCAAAAGGCACCGTCAGTTCGCCACATGCTCTCTTCGAACTTCTGGCACTCAGATTCCCCACATTGAACTCATTTTCTTTCTGAGCTTATATCCAAGTTTTTTTTCCCCCTGCATGTTATCAAGCCTCAGAGGAACAAAGCAAAAACAGGAGAGTGGAGAAAGACCATGATAGAAAGTGCCAGAAGGATAAAGAGAAGTAGAAGTTTATCCAATGGCTGCCATTTGCTGGTGAATTTGTAAAAATCATCTTTTTATTAAAAGACATTATAATTGCCATTATTAAAAGGCATTATAAAATTGTCTTTTAATAAAAAGACATATAAAGTTGCCATTGTAATTGCCTAATACAAATACAGACAGTGAAAACAGAGCAAGATTTCCTTCACAAAAGTACTCTTTCTCCTTCTGTAAAGGGAAAGACTGCCCACTGGGAGCACTCACCATTTTCATTTTTCCTGGTAACTTCTCAACTCCCCTAGCCCAACAAAAATAGTCAAATAGAGCTGACATTACCTTGCCTCTGATTCTTCAAATTTAAAGGCTCATTTTCTCACAAGATTTATTGACTTACACTCTATTATGTATTTTCCAAGTATAAAGAATATTCTTAGAGTGAGAGCCAGCCTATTTGCTATTAATTTAACATTTGCAGCTTTGCAGAGCTCTCATCTGTATCTGTATGCTTTGAAATCACCTGGAGATCCTAAAGCGCTCTCTCTCTCTACCTTCCTTGCATGGGGAGGCCACTTAACTAATTTATGTCAAGATAAAATTAAGCTTTTAATACTTAAGAATGTGGCTTCTCAGACTGTGGCTTATGCTGGTGTATAATGGCTATGGGTATACATGTCCTTGGACTATCATTCTAGCTCAAAGATTTTAAGGTAAAGTATGCTTATAATAAAACACAGGCCACTATGTTATGAAGTGCAAAATACATACAGATTTTTTAAAGAAAGCGCAAAGCATTAAAGAAATTTCCACTTACCTTGGCTGCTTCCGACTATCCTCACAAGCCACTCAAGGATATATTCATTCAACGGCACATGTTTAATGGGCACCTGCTATGTGCCAAGGAACTGTTCTAGGTGCTGGAAATGCAGCACAGAACAAAACAGACAAAATCCATTTATCTTCATGGGACTTACATGCTAGCATGAGAGACAGACAAATAATAAAATGTATGTACGTCATGTGGTGATATGACCCATGGAAAATTAAGCAGAGCAGGAGAAGAACAGGAAATGGGTGTAGGCTGCCAGCCAACAGTGATGCAGGGAAGTTGCAATTTTCAGTAAGTTAGTAAGGAGAGGACTCACTGATAACATGGCATTTGAACAAGGATCTGAGGGAAGTGAAAAGAGGTCACTATGCCAAAGTCAGGGAAGAGAAAATTCTAGGAAAGGAGAAAAGCAAGCGCAAACATCCTATGGTATTTGCATTCGAGATATATTTCAGGAAGAACGAAGAAGCCAGTGTGACTAAAATGAGGTGAGTTTCAAAAAGGCTAGAGAAAATGATGCGAGGCAGAGGGAAGAATGGTGCAGATATTGTGGGCTTTTGTAAGTCTGAATGAAATGGGAAGTCGTTGGAGGATTTTGAACAGAGGAATGATTTGATCAGATTTCTGCTATACTGAGAATAGACTAGTGGGGCCAGCTGTAGAAGTGGGAGCTGTACTTGGAAAGATATTACACTAAGCCAGGCCACAGATGATGATGGCTTGGACTGGACCAGTAGCTATGGCAATGGTGAGAAGTGACCCAAATCTAGATATACTGCACCCCTCCCTCCCTCCCTCCCTCCTTCCGTCCTTCCCTCCCTCCCTCCCACCCTTCCTCCCTTCTTTCCTTCCTTCCTTCCTCCCTCCCTCCCTCCTTCCCTCCCTCTTTCTTTCTTTCTCTCTCTCTCCCTCCCTCCCTCCCTCTCCCTCCCTCTCTCTCTCTCTCTCTCTTTCTTTCTTTCTTTCTTTCTTTCTTTCTTTCTTTCATCTCTCTCTCTCTTTCTTGAAACAGGCTCTCACTCTGGGTCTCACTCTGTCACTCAGGCTGCAGTGCCGTGATACAATCACAGCTCAGCTCATTGCAGCCTTGACCTCCTGGGCTTCAGCCTCCTCCCACTTCAGCCTCCCCAAGCAGCTGGGATTTTACAGGCACATACCACCAGCTCTGGCTAATTTTTGTATTTTTAATAGAGA